TATAAGCCGAGGCGGCTTTTTTCAGCTCAAAAAGTGGGCTGAAAAACTAGGCTTATACTTGAGTATATACAGTAATAGCCATGCTGACAATATAACTGGTTGGGAATGATAGGAAATACAGTCCAAAGCATTTAGAGATTGTAAGAGAAAATCTTTTAATGTCCTGTCGAACTTAGCACATGAGAAAATTGTGCCTGTTATTTCCTGTTGTTTGGCTTTTTGTAGCTTTTTCAATGGCATTTGCCTGGTCAGCCTCCTTCCAAGGATCATGACACCCAACCAGGAATTCTTCAGATGATACCCCAATGACAGTCAGTATTCTACTGCTCTGTCTCTTCTTGATGTAGGGAAAGTCCATCCAGTCAGGGTTTTCCACCATCATCAAAAGTACAAAACTAGGTCATTTTCATTTACATGTGTCACTTTCATTTATACGTTCAAGAAATTCTTCTTTTTAAAAACAATTCCCCTTGTGAAAAACTAACGAGACCAAATGTTGCTTGCAAGTGATTCAGTGGTGGGTTCCTGTTTTGCTACCAGTTTGCTTGTGCTTGCGCTCACACGCAACACTTCTACGCATGCGCAGAAGCATCCAGCCAGGTGGGCGAAGCCTCCTGCCGCCACCACTACCGGTTCAGCCAAACCGGGCCGAACCGGGAGCAACCCACCTCTGAAGTGATTCTGAATAATGAAATCACCAAGAGTATTGAAAGGTCCCTGGTGATTCTCCTTGCAGTCAGAAAAAGAAGGCTAAAACAATCATATTATGATTGAAAACTTGAGGCTGCTCAAGAATAAAGTCCATAAAGATCTGGGATGGGGTTGGGATAGGAATATGGCTGGAAAAGAAATTGTCTACTCTCACCAGGATACTGAAGATTATTTGAGACCCTGTAACTCAGCAGCGTGTATTGTCTATGTCGGAGATCCTTCCCATTTTATTTCCATTAACCTAGGAAGATTTTTAGTAGAAAGTGCCTAATCAGCTCTTCATCTTAACTACAATGTCTTATAAAAGCATGTGATTTCCACTTAGATCAGGGGTGTCAAACTTAAGGCCCATGGGCCGGATCAGGCATGCGGGCCCACCCTGGGAAACAGTGAGGGACCAGACTGCGGTGTCTCTGTCAGCAAAAACTGAGCTCTGAGCTGTTTTCGCTGGCAGAGGGTTGCAGCCAGAAATGGAGCTTAGGAGCCTGTTTTTGCTGGCAGAGCGCTTGGGCGCCGCCAACATGAGTGACGTTAAGCTGGCCACGCCCCTCCTGGCTACACTCATCCCACTCCCCCAAGGTTAAACACAACCCTGATGCGGCCCTCAATGAAATCAAGTTTGACACCCCTGACTTAAATCAACCATCTTTTTCTTTCATGCCCTGCCAGACTATATCCCCACCATCGCTATTCTCTGTTTTGCTATAACTCTTTTCCAGTTTTCCTTGTGTTCCTGCCCACTCATAGTTCTCTAGTGGGAGAATGCGCTCCATCATATAGCTCTGTTAATCCAGCACTCTCCACCCCGATGGTACCATAATGTCAAAGCCCACCTGGCCTTTCTAAGAATGCTAGCAATTCCAGGATTGGTGGCCAAGTCAGGAAGGGAGGCACAACAGCATATGTTACACCTGAGCCTTGAACATTTGATGCCACCACATCAAACTCTTTGCTCTGCACAGAGCATTCTATTTATTTACAATAGTCACAACACCTAGGCCAAAAATCACCACTGTGGGAATACATGGCCCCAATACCTTCCTTTGGGAAAAGCACGATATCCTAGATAACTCTTGCACAAGGAGAGTATTGCCAACATATATCAGTGCTGAGGTTCGGAGGTTTTTGTTCTGTGCTGCACTTTTTTAGCTCCTTGTTTCTTAGAGAACTATGTAAAATGAGGATGAACTGAGCTGTAGAACTCCGGATGACTTTTAGATTGCCGGAAAAAGCGATTCTCTTTGCTGCCACCTGCTGGCCAACTAGATTATTGCATTCCAGATCTGGTAATTCTACTCTTTGCTAGATTGAGGAATAACTAAGTACGGAGAGTTAATTTGAACCTGTAATAAAAGCCTATTTTAGCCTAAATTTACTCTCCTTAGAGCTGGCTTATTGAGTCAAGTAACCCTTCAAGACTCCAAGGTCTATTCTAATTCTAAGTCTACGTCTAATTCTAATTCTAATAAATCTAAGCCTAGTCTTCCTAGTGTTTATAAATCTATTTTCATCTGGCTCCAACGGGGTTCTTTCAATGTGTTGAAACCTGTTAGAATCCATTGCCAAGACCTATGTTGCAAAGCTAAAGCTAAAGAAGCCATTCCTTTACATAGAAAAAAATGTGGGAAAATGGAAATGGGCAAATAAATGGTTGAGCCTCCAGCTGTACATCTGGAACTGGGGTATCTCTTGGTGTTATTACATATCACATGGCTACTACAATCTACCTGAAATATATTATGATATTTCCTAGTGTTCCTATCACACACTAAGCTCCATTAACCATTTAAACCCCTTTAAAATCTGAACCATAAGCTATTACTTTTTGGAATTCACCTCCATCAGCTATGGTACCGGAATTATATCTGACAAATTTAAAAGGGGATTAAAGCAAGGATTGTATCACCAATAGAAAATAGCTGTGAAAGGTAAATGGAACTGCTCATCTCTGAGTACAATATTGGTAATATAGCAGTTTTTGCCCTACTTATGGGTTTTCTAAAGACATCTGGCTGCAGTTGGTGTGAAGAGCATCCTTGATTCAGCCTTCCACATTTTGATGTTCTCCAGATATGTTGAGGCCGTGATGGCTGGGATAACTGGAAGCTGCAATCTGGATGTATCCAGAAGGCATCAGTTTGACAAAGGTTGAAATATAATCTGAAGGAAGGAGATTTTAGGGAAATCCATGAATGCTTTTTGAGAACCCTATGTAACTTGGCTGATGCAATGAAAGAAAAAGTCCATACATATGTAGAGAAGAATATATGCACTCTTTTCAGATAGAGGTCTATGAGGCCAGGACAAAAACAAAATATTATTGTAGTCTAATTTAATTTAAAAGTATGTTATTTTAATTCAATTAATGAAATGCAGTTAATACAACTGCTCCCTGTGTTCCCTCATTTTATCTCCTCTCTATATTAGCAATAGCACTTAGACTTATATACCGCTTAACGGTGCTTTACAGCCCTCTCTAAGCAGTTTACAGAGTGAGCGTATTTTCCCCAACAACCTGAGTCATTTTACCCACCTCGGATGGAAGGAAGAGTCAACCTTGAGCCTGGTGAGATTCGAACTGCCAAATTGCAGGCAGCCGGAAGTCAGCAGAAGTAGCCTGCAGTACTGCACTCTAACCACTGCGCCACTGTGGCTCTTTAATATTATTTTTATTCAATATTAAATATTTTATTAATATTTGCAGCAATCTTTGGAGATGCCCTGGGTTTGGGGAGTATCAAGAATAAGCAAATGATCTCATGAAGATGTTTGAAGGAGTTGAGCAAATCTGCAACTCCTCCTTAAGAGCATCATAAAGACAGCAAAAATAAGATTACCTTGTCTCCATTCTCTCTGCCGCCATATTCACTTGGATTCCATTTCATTTCCCCTGGTCTACCAGAAACTGGCTTCTCTTCTTCCTCCTCCTTCTCGTCCTCTTCCTCCTCTTCCTCCGTAATATCAGAAAGGTCAGAACCACGATTGTGGTCAGTTAGAAGATTTAATGTCCGATTTCCTGGATCTGATCTTTTCTCTGCTTGCTAGAGAAATTCAAGAGGAAAGGCTTATTAGTGGGGGGAAAAAAACAAATGTTGTATAATTGGAATGAATAACTGAACTCATTCCCAAATCACAACTTTCATACTGAATGTATATATCTTCAAATATGAAATTGCATTTATACTTTAGGTAAAGGTAAATGTTCCCCTCACACATATGTGCTAGTTGTTCCTGACTCTAGGGGGCGGTGCTCATCTCCGTTTCAAAGCTGAAGAACCAGCGCTGTCCCAAGACGTCTCTCTGTGGACATGTGGCTG